GCACGCATGCCAGGCGAGCGCGCTACCGCTTGAGCCACATCCCCAGCCCCCCTTTATTTTATTTTTATGTGGTGCTGAGGATCAAACCTAGTGCCTCACAAGTGTGAGGCAAGTGCTCTACCACCGAGCTACAATTGCAGCCCCTTACAGCTTTTTTGTAACTGAATTTATAACACAGTTTGGTGTTTAACTTTTTAAAAATTAACTTATAAACTCAAATCCTAGAATCATAAAACACTGTGAACACTAGTATTTCTCTAAGGTTTTTGAGCATTGCATGATTTAGGTTTTCTTTTGCATCAGCCAGTGGATGATTTTTGTCTAGAGAGCCAACTTTGAGGAGAGCTTTTAATTCATTATTGCTAATGAAAGACATGTACTCTTCAGTCTTTGGTAAAGTATTCTGTGTGTGTGTGTGTGTGTGTGTGTGTGTGTGTATTTTAATATTGGCATGTCAGATTGGTATTAGTAAACTTTTAAGAATAATTATAGTCACAGAATTCTAAAGAGAATGTATATTTATTTTGAAAATTGTTTAAAGGCCAGGCATTTTGCTGAGCTTATAATAGGTTCACTTATTTGTTTTTATTCTCATTTCACCTTAAAGTAATTCTAGTGAAGCATAGACAGTATTTTCCTCATGTTTAGAATGAAGATAATATTGGCTTAGAAAAGTTCCTAAGGAGACCCCAGTTGAGATTGAGATTGTCTTTCTGATGCCAAACTTGGCTCTTAGGCAATATTTAATCTGAAAGAATTTCTAGAGAAATAGAAGAATATTCAACTCAGAGAGAGAGGTAGAGCGCTTATCCAGTGTATTATTGCATTCTTGAGAACAGCCTCACTAAACAAAACTGAACTCTGCACAGCCCTTTTAAATAGGAGGTGCTGATAAACAGAATTTCTGGAGAAGTCTCCTGAAATACACCGTAAAGCTGTCCTTGTGGCTGGGGAGTGCTAAGAAGAATAGCAGCAGACGGATAACACTGGCTTTCAGTTGTTGTAACTGCTGTAGCAGACCAGAACAGGGAGAACCACATAGTGATCCTCTGTGGTTTTTCTTCTGAACACTCAGTCTTTTCATAAGGTGTTAGCTTATCATCTTCCAGTTCCATTTGGGAAGCCCTGCTGTGTAAATGATGCTGGGTTAGATATTTAGGAAGGCAGAGGTGCACTTGGAAGGATTTTCATGCAGAACATCATGGTTAGAACTAAAGTGAGATATAAGCAAAATTATATGGAGTCAGGGAAGTAGCATTTAATTCTGTCTGGGAGATTGGGAATGGCATTATGAGCAATATGGTATTTGGTTGCAGCCATAGGAATGACAGGATTTTTTTTCTTTCTTTTTGCAACTGCACCAGTGTATTTTATTTTTATTTATTTATTTGTTTTTATTTATATACAGCGGGATGCCTTACAATTCTTATTATACATACTGAGCACAATTTTTCATATCTCTGGATGTTTACAAAGTATATTCATACCAATTTGTGTCTTCATATCTGCACTTTGGATAATAATGATCATCACATTCTGCCATCATTTATAACCCCATGCCTCCTCCCTTCCCCTGTCTTGAGTTCGTCTATTCCTCCAATGCTCCCTCTCCCTATCCCACTATGGATTAGCCTCTTTATATCAAAGAAAACATTCACCATTTGTTTTTTGGGGATTGGCTAACTTCACTTGCATTATGTTCTCTAACTTCATCCATTTACCTGCATATGCTGTGATTTTATTCTCTTTTATTGTAATATTCCATTGTGTATATATGCCATATTTTTTTTTATCCATTCGTCTAGTCTATTGAAAGGCATCTAGGTTGGTTCCAAAGTTTAGCTATTGTAAATTGTGCTGTTATAAACATCGATGTGGCTGTGTCCCTGTAGTATGTTGTTTTTAAGTCCTTTGGGTATAGACTGAGGAGAGGGATGGCTGGGTCAAATGGTGATTCTATTCCCAATTTTCTCAGAAATCTCCCTATTGCTTTTCCTATTGGCTGCACAAATTTGCAGTCCCACCAGTAATGTATGAGTG